TCACCTCGTCGGCCAGGGCCGTTTTAGAGCCGGAATGCAGTGCAACATGAACAACCACGTCTGAAATTAAATGATTTGCTCCAGGAACCTGGAAGCCTTTCCAGCTCTCTGGAACAGAATGTGTGGGCTTCCCCCATCGCCCGAGTCCTGCCAGCAAACCATGTCATGACTTTTGCTGGCAGTGACCATCTCCTGCTGGTTTTATTGACATGAAGAGGTAACAGCATGGACAATGAACACTATGCACCTGCAGGAAATGCTCTGCGTTTGCTGCGGTGGGGCCCTGGTTCGTGTGGGTGTGCAGCAAAGTGCGTCCTGCAGTGGCGACAGCCCCGGTAACCCACTGGGCAGGAGCCTCAGGGCAAGAAAGATGGGGAGAACGGCTTTAGCAGGGCATGTTGCAACAGGACAAGTTGTGCGGCGTCCAGCTCTGGAGGCCCCAACACAGGAGGCGGAGCTGTCGGAGCTGCTCGGGTGGTCAGAGGGCTGGAGCCCCTCTCCTCTGGGGCCAGGCCGAGAGAGCCGGGGCTGTTCAGCTGCAGAAGAGAAGGCTACAGGGAAACCTTACCGGAGCCTGCCAGGCCTGGTGGGGCGACAGGAAACCTGGGACAGGACTGGGCACAAGCGTGCGTGGTGACAAGAAGAGGGACGAGGGTTTTAAGCCAGAGCAGGGTAGATTTGGATAGGACATGAGGAAGAAGTTGTTTCCTGTGCAGGTGGTGAGACCCGGGCACAGGCTGCCCAGGGGGGGGGTGGAGCCATCCAGGCTCAGGCTGGATGGGGCTCTGAGCAGCCCCGTCGAGGGGTGAGGTGTCCCTGCTCCCTGCAGGCGGGTGGGACGAGGTGACCTTGAAGGGTCCCTTCCAGCCCAACACACGAGTGTATGATTCTCTGAAGAGAAACAAGAAAATGCTGTCTGCAGAAAGGGCAAGGAAGCATACCAAAGGGGATACACTAAAGTGGCACACGGATCCTTCTCCCCAGTATTGCCTTTTATGGAGTTAAAAATGTGCTTTTATGCAAGCGGGACTGGAAGACAGGTTGGTGATCCACTGCTCAAAGGAGCGGCTCTGACTTAGGAAAGGCATGGACGTGTGAATGGGCAGAGAGGGTAGTTTTCAAAAACGACTCTCAAAATACTTTCAGTGTATTAAATAATTGGAATAAAAGCTTGGTCCTTTTGACAGCATAAAAATATTACGTCTTTCGTACTTAGACATTACTTGTAATTCCAGCAAACGGTCCTTTTATAGTCACTGTCTCATTTGAGATTCTCATGGTCAGGAAGCAGAATAAACATCCACGCTTTAAAACAGATGGCTGCAGAGAAGCACCAAAGTCCTAGAAACATCACAGCCATGCTTACTGTACATTTTTCTTGAAGTCTACAAAGTCTTTGCTCTATCAAGGAGAACTCTCCTAATTTGGACAATGTGTGTACTGGTGTCATACTGCAAAACAGGAGAAACTTCCTCTTTTATGGGAATTTGCTGACAACAGCTGGAAGGTCTGGTTGCATTTTCTAAAACTATTTCAGCTCAGTATATAAACAGATAAATATAAACCCCCCAGAGTGAAAAATGGAGTGTTAACACATGATCCTCTAAGACACTAGCATTAGAAGCCAAAAGGTACAATCCAAAGCTTCTGAAATCAGTGGAAAGAGGGCCACCGATTTCTGACTTGTTGGATTAGGTCTTAATTGGTAAGGACGCTGAAGTCTGCAACGTACTAATGCACAACTGAAACGTGCACTCAGACTGGTGCAGCTTGTGAAAGCAAGAAAAGACTTCTACTCCCTTCACCCAAATTAATGGGAACATATTCCGGCATGTCTAATATAATTCACTGGCATAATTCAGTATGGTATTCAGAAAAAAAGTTTTTATGCACTGTACTGATATTGACATAAAATATGAAACCTTATGAACAACCTATATGAACAGTCAAAACAATACAGACCACTAAGGAGACAGCACAGAGACCATTTTAATCAACATGCAATGTAAATAAATTACACCTCTGAAATCAAGATGCATTAGAATATATGTTGGGCTCCTCAACATTTGTCTTTCCCAGGGACCTTTGAAACACACAATCTGAGTCTGGCTAGGAAAAGTATTACAAAATCTTTCAATGGGCTATCTAGTAAATTACTAAAAATCAATGTACAAAGCTGATTTTAAAACGTGTTAGGAATTTACTGCTTTGTACCTCACTGATTAAGACTTACTATATTTCATACCTACAGAGAAATGCAAAGCTTTCCATTATCTGGCACAGAGTACAAGACGTTAACCCACAATGGAGCCTCACCGTCTGCTATTCTAGTTATACTCAGATTCATACTGTAATAATAATGGAAGTTTCCTAATATTACTGAGCATGAGATTAGCACCTGAGTCAGAAGTCGATACAGAATCCAGATCTTCAGAGCCCTGGCAATAACCATACTTTGTATTACTGACATCTGAATCCTGCGAGTTACAGAGGCCCTGGAGCATGAGCCTGGCAGGAGCTGGTGTGACAGCCCTCGATACAGCTCAGGTAACTTAATGGCGTAAGGTGTTGCTTATCTGCAAAAACGAATAACACGTGTATTGCACCTGGCCTGAAAAACAGCTTTAAGTGAATGCAGTTTATACTGGACACCTTAGCGTACCTGAAAGGACGGGGAATGAGGCTGCAGGACCAGACGTGACATTCCTACTCCCTGAACCACTGAAACTCCAGAGCTCCTGGTGAGTGTAATATAACCCGTGGATCAGGTACGTTATTAGTCCCTTAGCACAGACAGACTCATCCTGTGTCCCACACAAATGAGTCGGGAACACAGCACACGGTTCTGCAGAGCTACAGGGAAGAAACTTTTTTTTGTCTGCGGGAAGTCATCCTGCAAAATTTGTCAAATTTTTCTGGCTAGGATGGAAAACACCACTGGAGATTTGAAGTAAGCATCTTGGACATGTTTGCAGCAGCACGGACCGAGAGAGCGCCTATGCCATGAAGCTTTAGGTAGCAATGCTACAGCCAATCACGCCACGTACTGCCTGTCACATAGGCTGCAAAGGACAAATCTTTAGAAAAACCTATGTCTAAAGTAAATACTATACATAGTCCTATCTTACATTGTCCCGTCTGTACACTGGGAATTTTACTTTCTCTAAGATCTACTAAAATATTCACTGCTGTTAAATACTGTATATTAGGAATTATGTTATAATTTTGCAGAGAGCTATTTAAAAACCAACTACCTAGAAATTACTGCTTATGGGTGATATTCCTAAGTTTCTTATTATTCAGACTAAATGCACTCTTTCAATGGGCAGAATCTGCTTTTCCTAGCATCGTTAGACAACACACAAAGCAAGAACCATTTTGTAAGATTCTTCTGCTTGTAAAAGGAATCTATTGGACAATTCTAAAATGCTTCTAACTTTGCAGTGATAATAATACAGATCTGATGCTTTATTATACATTTGATAAAAAATTATAAAAATTCGAAATGCCTCGTTAAAATTTAACATGCCAGGTCATTTAATTTTACCACAGTTTACAAAACTTTTTTACCCAATTTTGCTTTTCTTAGCCAGCTTAGGGAAAAAACCAATTCATTTACTAAATACATTTAACAGTAGGTTAGCATAATGCCACAGCTATTAGGATTACTAAAAACTCGCACTGATACTATGCTACCTAAAAATTCTCCGTAAGTTGTTCATAGGGCAGACAAATAGAGCATGAAGAATTGGTTTGGGGCTTCAGGTGGTTACTATCTAGGTATTGGATAATCTGACACATAAGCACATATCTACAGACACCACGTCAGCAGAGTGGAGCTCGTTATCAAATAAAGCAAATTGTGTTACAGCCCTCAGAGCACAGCTGGAGACTCTGCTCATTCGTTACTTTGCAAAAACGTGCAGTTTTCTTGTGTGCACTTTA